CTGGGCGGGGCAGGAACGGGCGATGCCAGCACGGCGCCCAGGGTCTGCGAATTGTGGGACGCTGGAATCCCCGCGAAAAGCATGTTTTGTGGGTGGTGACTCCAAGTTTCCCACACTTCCGAGTTATGGGAGGCCCACAATTCGCCGGCCGACTGCCCATGCACCGTGCCATGTCTGGACACCGTCCAGGCCGCGTTCCAACACGCACGGTGCATCGCTGTTTCGGCTCTTGGGGGCGAACACTTATATACATACATATCTATATATATACATATATATATATATATGCACCGCACCACTCCTGGGACGAGAATCGACCACGCCTCGGGAAACGCCAACGCGGTACTGTGCACGCATGTCGTCCGCGGAAACAAGAGACCACCGCTGCGGGCAACGGCAAGGTGAGCGGCGAAAAGCAACGGGTCTTACGCGAGATGGCATAGCGACCTTGCGCGGAGGCTCACGCGGGCCGCCTGCGCGGCACGCCACACTGGGAACCAGAGCGCTGACGCGCGACCTTGCGCGGACACCTTCCGCGCCAATGCCGCTGAAGCCGAGCCCGCTTTTCTGCGTCGCTCAGGTGTGCGCACCCGTGTGCAGCAAAGGATGCTCGAAACGATCCCACTCCTCGTGGCGGCAGGGTTGACCCGTGCTCACTCCGCGGCGACCCCTTGCGCGGGCGTCCAGGCCGGAGCGCCGCCAGTGGCCGTTATCGAACGGCCTGCTCCCACGCGGTGCGCAGAACCAACGCGCAGGTCGAAATGAAACGGACCAGCCGTGACCCCTCCGACCTCGCATTTTTTGCGCGACGTGGGCCCCTGGGGATCTCCACGCTTTCCTCGGGGCTGCCTTGTCGTCCTGAGCTGCTGGTTTACAGCCCCGGGGCCTGGACACGGTCCCCAGAGGCTGGAAACTATGCAAGACCGGCCGCCACGATTTTGTGTGCGACGCCCGTCTCTGAGGTTCCTTCATTATCCCTTTCATTCGATCGCTCCGGATTAGACGACCCAAGTGGTGTCAGGAACCAACGTGCGGGTTGGTGCGGACGTGTGCAGCGCGATAAATCGAACAGCAAATGTGCGAGAAGCGGGATGGTTCCGAAGTCGGAATCGGCCCCTAACTCCGCCCGGGATCACGAAGGAACCTCACAGCCAGGCGTCGCACACAAAATCGTGGCGGCCGGTCTTGCATAGTTTCCATCCTCTGGGGACCGTGTCCAGGCCCCGGGGCTGTAAACCAGCAGCTCAGGACGACAAGGCAGCCCCGAGGAAAGCGTGGAGATCCCCAGGGGCCCACGTCGCGCAAAAATGCGAGGTCGGAGGGGTCACGGCTGGTCCGTTTCATTTCGACCTGCGCGTTGGTTCTGCGCACCGCGTGGGTCATCGAACCTTGAGCGATTGTGGTTTTCCGACTGAGCAGGTCGTTCGATATCGGCCACTGAAGGCGCTCCGGCTTGGACGCCTGCGCAAGGGGTCGCCGCGGAGTGAACACGGGTCAACCCTGCCGCCACGAGGATTGGGCTCGGCTTGAGAATCGAGGATCAAGGATACAGGTTTCTGGACGTGTCGGGCCTTCTTGGGGGGGGGCGGAGGAGGAGGGAAAGGACGGCCAACGAAACCCAGGATGCATCACCGATTGTGCAATACGCCCTCCCCTTCTAAGTGCCCTCCTCATGTGACCCTACGAGCCTTTCGGCCCCCCATAAAAACGAACACACCATGGGCGAGGACCCCATTTTGGGAAAGGAACTGCCACGCAGCCTCCTACCGCAAGATACGGACTGCGAACACGTAGGAACTTCAACGGGGTGTCCAGCGAGAGCCCTGCTCTCAAAAGGAGCCCCCCAAACGTGTGGCGATGCAAACGATGCCGCGCTTCGTCGCTGAGAATCAGAAGAACTCTCAAGCGAAGAGCCCATGATGACAAAGATATCCACATCCATCCGTGCAGCTGCTACACGTGATCAAGCTTTGTTTCCAGCTTTGGGACCAGTTGGACACACATTCTTGGAAGGAGACAGTCGACAAGCCTGCAGCGGCTGAAACCCTTTAAGACGACAGCGCGCGGCGCTGAGGCGAGATCCCCATTTTGAGAAGGAACTCCCCTTCATCCTTGTAACTGTTTCACGTTAGTATATATATATATATACGTGAACCAAAAACTGATTGTGCGGCGCTGGGGCGAGAAACGCATTTTGAAAACGAGCCCGCCTCCGAACTATAGAACTTGTTGGAACATAAAACACGAACGCGCGCGGCGCTCAGGTGTGAACCGCGTTTTGAGAAAAAACTGGCCACACAACCTCGAAGATGGAACCTTCTAGCTTCAGAGTCAGAGTCGCCACCGTGCCTCGAGGCACGAAGTGAAATGTCGTCATGTCTTACACCGCGCAACTCTGAGTATTAAAACGTGAGGGCACGGACGCCGAAGCGCCAGATTTCCTCAGCTGTGTCGCGTGTTGTTGCGTGTACCTTCGTGCTTCTCACAAGACTTCCCTCGAGCCCCACAAGGGCGGCCCAAACAGCCCAAGAGAGCTGAACACGGCCCAAAAGGTCCTCAAGGCGGCAGAGCAGAGGTGGAACACGAACTGAGATTTCGAGCCCTTCGCTGCAAAATGACCTCCGAGACCGCCAGCAAGAGGCCGTCAATAGGCCCCCAGGATGCCCAACACAGACCCCAAGAGGCCACCAAAAAGCCCCCGAGGGGCTTCCGATTGACTCTCTCTCCCTCTCTCTCTCTCTCTCTCACTGTGAACGCCGGGGTGTGTCCTGTCTCCGTCTGCTGGAGTGGGTGCCTGGAATGTGCCAGACTGGAATGCGTGCCTGGAGTGTGCTGGACGTGCCCTGGGACGAACGACGATAGGTATCCTGGAATGTGAACGCCAGGGTGTGTTCTGTCCCCGTCTGCTGGACTGCGTGCTGGAATGTCTGCTGTCTGCGCGCTGCTCCGACGTATCCGTCTGCTGGAATGCGCGCCTGGAATGTGATCGGCGTGCCTTGGAATATGCGAAGACATTTGCCCTGGAATGTGAACGCCGGGGTGTGTCCTCTCTCCGTCTGCAGGCCTGCGTGCTGGGATGTCTGCTGTCTGCGCGTTGCTCCGACGATCTGTGTTAATATGCGTGTCGATATGTCCAAAGCTATCCCCGGCCCGTTCCTACCGGCCGTGCCCCCGCCCCCCCATCCTCCGTGCTCCCCTGGCATATTCCGACCGACCGTGCCCCCTCCCCTCTGCCTGTCCCGCGCCCCCACCCACTCCTCCCATTCTTTGTCCGACCGACCGTGCTCGTTTCTTCCCCCTGCCTTCCACCCCCCCTCCTGTCCCCATTTCCCTTCCCCTCGCCCCCCTGGCTTATTCCGACCGGCCGTGTCCCCACCCCCTCTCCCTGTCCCGTGCCCTCTCCCCGTCCCGTGGTCCTTTTTCCCCCCCCCCCCCCCCCCCACGCCCTCTCTTCCCTATTCCGACCGACCGTGCCCCCGCCCCCCCATCCTCTGCGCCCCACCCCGTGGTTGTTTCCGACCGACCGCCCCCCCCTCTGCCTGTCCCGCGCCCCCCCTGTCTTGTTCCGACCGACCGTGCCCCCCTCCTCTCCTTGTCCTCCGCCCCTCCTCCCCTCGCCATTTCACTCCCCACTCGCCCTCGCCCTGGTTTATTCCGACCGACCGGGCCCCCCCCTCTCCCCGTCCCGCGCCTTCGCCCCGCCCCTTGGCCTGCCCCCCCCCCCCCCCCCCCTTGGCTGATTCCGACCGACCATGCCCCCCTCCTCCTCCTGTTCTCCGCGCCCCCCCCCGCCCCCACGCACATTTCCCCCCCTCCTCGCCCCACATAGTTTATTCCGACCCCCCTGCCCACTCTCCTCTCTTTGTCCCGTGCCCTCTCCCCGTCCCATGGCCGTTTTGCCTTTCACCCTACGACCCCACCCCCCCCAGCCTATTCCGACCGTGCCCCCACCCCCCGTCTTCTGTGCACCCCCTTGGCTTATTCCGACCAGCCGTGTCCCCTACCGTATGCCAGCCCCGTGTACCCCCCCTGGCTTAATGGGAGCAAGCGATTCAAACAACATTCTGGGGCGGACGATTGAACGCATGGTTGCGCGGGCCTTCGCGTCACCGCAATTGCGGGGGGCGGGGCAGGCAGACGGAGGGCGGACAATCCCGGGTTGTCTGGAGGCCCCGGGGGGGGGGGGGCGGGCGCGGACTGACAATTCAGGGCAGGCGTGCGGGGAGTCAATTCAGAGCCGGGCAAGCAAAAGCTGGAAGGACTTCGCGGGCTGGCGATTCGAATCCGCAGGGGTGGGAAATTTGAGGCCGCAAGGGGTGTTCTTGGCCAGCCCTGAATGGGAAGTAAGCATTTCTGATCCGCCAGTCCTGCGGGGAAAGCAGGCACTTTTGCGCCGCCTTCAGACAGCGACCTCCTTCCCCATTTCCTCTTTCTAGTATCCTCCCCTCTCGTCCTCCTTGTCATATTCCCCCGGCCAATTACTGTTCCTCTATAGTTATCGAGTATGAAAGCGATTCCTCGTTCTACCCTGATATAGCCCGGAAGATTGCCTGCGCCCCTCCGCGTAGTTTGTTTTACTTACGCGCAGGTTTGGCGAGAATTCGTTTCCCAAACTTGTTGTTTCCGTCGGAACGTGTCCGGCTCTTCCAAACCTGCTGTTCCCGCTGAAACACTGGCCTCACTTTCGAGCTTCCAGTCGGTTCGAATCCCCCCGCGTTCTGCTTTGACACGTGCGGATTGGGGGAGCGTGTTGATTATATAGGTTGCTCAGTCCGAACTTGTTCGGTTCTTCGGACAATCTGCTCCCGCGGCAGCGTGGGCCTCATGTTCAAGCTCTAATCGCCGTTCGCGAGGACGACAGCTGGGCCGTCCTCACATTTGTTCTTTCGGCGGTCCTCCGTGGATGTCCTGGATCAGCGCTGGGACCCCTGGCGGCCTTTCTGGCGCCCCATCTCCGCAATCCTACCCCCGCGGCCGCGGGTGACCAAGCGAGCGCAGGA